ATCATCACCATTATCATCATCACAACCAACACTACCACTCCTATTATCATCATCATCATTATCATCATCATCACCATTATCATCAAAGGTATCATAATCGTCACCATTACCAACACTACCACCTCTACTATCGTCATCATAGCAATCATCATTATTATAACTATTATCATCAATCATCATCATCATCACCAAATCTGTCTCTTTTGTCATTATCTGTTACATCTTTATCATGGTGATGGCTATCTCACGCATACACTACAACATGGCGCATTCATATCTTCTTTACATTATCATCTATTTTTCCAATCAAAGTCATTCACACCATGATGATTACTATTGTCACCAACATCTCGTACACCACATCATTAATCACCCGGTTCTCAACAGATTATCCACGTTCCATAGCTCTCCTTCCTTATCCCTTAACCCTTCTTAACCCTCACACTATGCCATCAATTTTAACTATCTAAAAAATATTTCAGCACACGACCTGTCTAGACACTCACAGACATTCTCTTGCTACCAAAATCCCGTTCGACAAACCTAAGGATCTTCTGATCTCCTGGTATTTGATAAGTTGTTGAGAGCTTTGTACTTGACTCGCTGTTGTCGAACAAGTGTTAAGCGCCATGGAGGCTCTAGTTATATCTAATATAATCAAGTTATATTATTACTGGTGTAAGTTCAAAGGGTGTAACAAGGCATTAATCTTAAATAATCTCGGTATAAAGAGGCTTAGACACAACGACACACGCGAGTCAAGTATGCTACAGTCGTTAAGAGGCGTGTATAGACTTTTATTCCTCAAATATTTCAAGCGTACAGTTTGTATCCGTTGTGCGGTCACCCTCTTGTCTGATTTAATATATAATATATGTATGTACCCATTTGAGGAATGTCACCCCGAGAATGTAACAAAATGAATGTCTCTTAAACTGCATATAATGTTTTACAAAAAAAAGTTTAGGACGCATTTTAAATATATATATTGCTAGACAATTAGTTTTTTGTGCATTGCGGATGAAAATTTTGGAGGTAAAACGCCATTCAGCTCAGTTTTTTCTGAGAATTTTTCAGATTTCCTCTCAGACTTTTCAAATATTTCAAGTGTACAGTTTGTTTCCATAGTGCGGTCACCCTCTGTCTAATCTAATATCTGTATGTACCCRTTTGAGGAATGTCACCYCGAGAATGTGACAGRAAATGAACGTCTCTTAAATTACAGAATTTTATTTTTACAAAGGACTTTTAAAGAAGTATTAAAAAAATTAGTGCTAGACAATTATTTTTTGTGCATTGCTCTTGAAAATTTTGGAGGTAGAATGTCAGTCGGCTATGTTCTTTCCAATTTGCTCGCCATGCTTGTATACCATATTTACTCCCATCAGTTTAAAACTCTCTTATTCAGTGCGATTGTCGTGAGCAGCCATTCATTGCTGTACTTCACTACTCATTGAGATGATTTTCTAAATCATCACCGTTGTTATTGCTTACTGCCAAACAAATAATGAGCTCAGCTCTCAGCCAACATGTCTTGTAGCC